AGAGACAGAAAAATGATCTGACGAAGGGAATTTTTCTGATTTTTTTTTTCAACTTCTGGGCTCGCTGCATTGGCAGACGGAACCAGAAGCGAACATGTCGGACGACATGCTCCTGCATTTCTCCTCCAACTCTTCCAACCAGTCCGACCACTCCTTGCCCACCAAGATTGCCAAGCTCGAAGCTCGAATGGTCGGCAAGGCCTCTTCGGCGGCTTCCGCAGCCGCCGCCATTGCCGTGCAGCCTGCTGCTCAGCAGCAGCAGCCCGCTTGGTCCTCCGTCGTCTCCTCCGCCGTGAAATTCGTCTCCGACGAATTGGCGGAACCCTCTACCTCCAGTGACTCCGACGATGATGTAAGAAACCCCTTCCTTGTATTTGTTATTTGTGACGAATGGACGTTAATTGGAATATTTTTTTGTGGCATTTTGTTCGGTGAACGGGCAACATTTATAGCAGTACTTTGAATTAATAGAATTGATCAAAATTTTCAATGGATTCCTGGACTTCTTGATCACATTGTGCAAAACGATGTTATTATGTACACTTCTTGGTTGTCCCATAATAAGCCATTCTTCATACTCCTTCATACTGGGAGGACAATAGAATAATCGAGACCTAAGTTTTAACAGCAATTTGTGTCGTACAGAAATTGAGAATTTCACATATTTATTGTCTCTACTTGAGGCAGTTTTGATGAACATGAACTCTGTTGCTTCTGATAAAAGATTGTGGCTTTTTTTCCCTTGTAAATATTATGCCTATTCTGTGATAGAGGAGCCAGAGTTCTCAATCTTAGCGGATTCTTTTAAATAATGTTGACATTTTCAGTTATGGTCAAGAGTTTGTGTGGTTGTTAGCATTGGGGGGTTATTATTCGTTCAATGACCCAGAGGAGGAAGTCATATATACATCATTTAACCTCTTGGTGCATCATTTGTGGGGAGGATGATGAAAGTTCTGACAATCTGTTATTATGTTGAAAAGTAGCTTAGAATTCTGGTTAAGATTGGTTTTGAAGCAGGTTTCTAATACTCGGCTACTTAGAGATGCCTATCTATGCTTGTGAAAAGTTATTTGATTTTGTTCAAGACTTCAAATAGAAAAATTGTGTCTTGGGGAGGTTTTCCTGTTAATTACGGCTTTATTTTGGGTTATTTGATTGGAGACAGAGAACGAAGGGTTTGGGCATAAATGCCAAGAGACTTTATGGGGAGGCTAAAATTTTCTGGGAAAGATGGAAAGACATTTTGTAGAGTGCATGCCCGCCAGCTCGGTGACCTGTCTTTTTTACTAGACCTTCTTGTCCTCGTCTTATTTTATTATTTTTTTAATGATTACTATTGTAAAAGGTGATATTTTTATTGTTTGTTAGTTTCTTGGATGTTGTTGTTACCATGAATAATCATATACCATAATATGTTTTCTTTTCTGGTTCGTGATCTTATGCCAGAATGGAGGGGAGTTTCTAATACAAGCCAATACTCAAAAGCGTCAGAAACTTCAACAAGATGAAGGCTCAACCGTTTTTGAACATGTTGATGTGAGTTGTTTTTTTTTGTTTTTCTTGTTTTGCTAAGAGATGTGATGTCTTGTTTAGTTACTTAACTAAAGCTCTTGTTTGCAACAAATTAAAACGCAGGCTGTCACTGAGGGAAGACAAGTGATTTTGGAAACTGTGGAAACTAAGGCAAATGATACAAATAGGAAAAAGCATGGTCGTGGCAGGGGGCCCACTGTTTCAAGCCGGGGGCGTGGTTCAAGAGTTAATGATCAAACAAGATCACAAATAAGCCCTGCAACAGTTACGCCTTCAAATGGTCAGCTTGAGTACTCATATAATAAGGTATGTTAGTTTTCTTAAGAACAGGAACAAACTACATTTGTGGGTCTGGTATTTTGTTTCTTTCTCACCCTTTGTGTTAAAACTCTACGGATTGTTTCTTATCTTATTAATCTAATAACAAAACTTTGTAACATTTTAATTATGTAATAGGATGATTTTCTTATTGAATTCAGGATAATAGGTCCAAGGAGCATTTCCGCAATGACGGCCGTTTGTCATTAGAGGTGTGGTTCCCGTTTTTATTTTTTATTTTTGTTCATTTTTTGGTATGTGATAAGAAATCATTTATTACTTGAAATTGGAAAACATCGTTCCCATTTGTTGTTTTATGTGTGTGTTTGGGGGGGGGAGGGATGTGGTTTCTCCAATTTTTACCCATCAATGGGTATTATTGTTATAGCCACAAGACATTAATCCGACAGTTGTAATAAATTGAATAATGATCAAAAAAATTAATGACAGTTAATGAAATTAGATTCTTATAACGCCACGTAATCAAATTTTTATATTTGAAGGTGAACTCGTCCATATATATATATATATATTTCCCATTTGGCTTTGCTTAGATGAATGCATTGTGCCCCTTCCTTGACTTAGTGACTTTCTGTAATCCTAAGTTTAGTATTTGCATTTCCGACACCGGGGTTTCTAATATTTTGACATAAGGTACTTGGTGTCTCATAGTTGGTGTATTTTATTTTGTCAAAAATTTAGGAAGAAGTTGCATCTTTACGGGCAAAAGTTGCAGCCCTAGAGGAGGACCTGCGTAAATCATTTGAAGAGGCATCCAATTATCAGAATCTGTGTAAACAGTTAGAGAAGGTAATAAACTAATGCTTATGGGGGTCCAAAGTTCAGTATACTTGTCAAATTATTCATTTTAATTTTCTGCCTTGAACATCTTTGAGTTTGACACATGAAACTTTATCCTTTTTTTTTCTTTTTTTTCTCTTCTCTTAACTTTGTTTTCTACCTTGCTTGGTGTAGGAATTGAAGGATCTCAAAGATAAAGAACAACAAGTAAATCCTAAGGTGTGGTTTTCAACACTATAGTTTATTGATGTTTTTTGCTTATATGAGTGCTGTATCTTCTATACACTTTTATGAATATTTATGCTACTTTTATTTCTTGATCAAAATGTAATATTCTTTTCCATTTTCTTTCTCCAGTCAGCTCAACAGCAGAAACAATATGGTTTTTTTTTTTGGGGGGGGGGGGAAAAGGATCAGGTTATACAGTTAGGTTACATTTGCACATGAAATGTCTTAGGAACCTAATCGCTAGCTAGTTGGTTTCATGGCTTTGTTAGTTGTTGCTATTGTTCAGTAGTCTTTTAGTAGTATAAATAGGGGGGTTAGCAGCTCATGAGGGCTTATGTCTGATTTGGGAATTGTTTGGTAATCATTTGGAGCTTGGGGAACCAAGTTTTGGGAGATCTGGTGGTCTCTCGAATACCACCATTGTTAGTGTTTTCTTGTACTGTTTTGAAGTTTATCAGTTTATTTGATGAAGTTTTAGTCCTTTGTTCATCGGTTTTGTTAGAAATTGCCAGGTTCTTATCAAAATGATGGTACCATGTTGATTTCTCCGCAATGTCTTAATGATAATTGTTAACCCCTTTTTTCATGGTTCAGTGCTTTTACTTTGAAGTAAACATTGACTCTGGTATATGTAATTCAATTGATTGCTGAGAAAGAATTGTCCTTTTTAATTTTTAAGATTCATCAAATGTCTACTCTCACATGTTTGTTATGGGTTTTTTTTTTCTTATGCAGAGGACAAAAGTGATATCTGATTTGTTGATATCTGTTTCAAAAGCAGAGAGACAGGAGGCAAGAATGAAAGTACGACAGGACTCTTTGAGACTTGGCAATGTGGGTGTAATCAGGTAATTTCGTTTACTGGAAATGGGTTGTTATTTCTTGCTTTCGGTGCCTAGTCGCTTCAATTTCTTATTAGCGAGCGTAGAGTGGATTTTATCGATCGGAAGGAAACATATTGTTTGAGGTAGAGGAAATCAGCGAGAAGATAAGGGGGGAAAAATGAAGAGGATGAAATATCATCTTAGTAATAATAAAAAAAAATCTATAATGCAGGGGGAGATGTGGTCAGGATTGTTCTTTTTTTTTTTGTTTTGTTCTCCAACCCCCCGGTGGAGGTTGGAGATTGCAAGTATAGGGGATAAGGCCTTTTAAGTTTTAGCATGTTAAGAGATAGAGGGTGAGTGAAGTTGCCAAGAAAAGTTAAAAATTGGAGCCACTATTCCTTGTTTATACTTATAATTGATGATTTTTTATTTAATTGACGTTCTAAGGTATGAGTTTTAGGGTGTATTAAAACTGAATTAAGTTTTGGGTGTTGCGGGAATTTAGGGTTCGTTTGGTATGAGGGTTCAAACCAGGGTGATTCTAGTTTTGATTTTGGAACCAGAACCATGATTCATGATTTTTGGTCCAAATTTAGGGTTCATTTATTTTATTTCTATTCCTTTTAATTTTTATGTAAGTAAACAGCATAATGGTTCTGAAACCAGAACCAGAATCAAGGGTTTGAACCACCGAAAACCGGGGGGGGTTAGAATCAGGGGTGATTCATGATTTAAAACATCACACCAGGGTTCAAACCTTAAATCAGAACCATCCTAACCAAACACTGATTCTAGGTGAGTTAAATCAGAACCACTTTTTACTTTTTATAAACAAACACTGGTTCTGAACCAGAATCATGGTTCCGGGTTCAAAACCCTTACACCAAACAACACCTTAAACAATAACTTCATTAGACCGGAGAGTTAAGGAAAAAAGTGAGGATGGACAGTTTGATTGAACCTTAAAGTATCGAGGCTTCTAGTAGTTTTGCGCAGAAAAATTTCTTAATCTGATGTTTCCTCTGATTAATTAACACATTCAATGAACAATCCATTAATTATGTTGGGAAAATCGGCATTCTACAAAAGTTAAGAGAAGTATTACTCCATACTAGGGAGTGGACACCAGATTTGAAAACATTTTTTTGATTGAAAAATCTTTGCATTCAGTAGATTTATACATTTTATACAAGGAAAATGATATACATCATTAAAATAGTTTCTATCACACCTAGGGCGCATTTACTAACCAGGATTCCAATTTCAGGAAAGGGAATTAAATTCCAGATTTTAGATTCTAATGTTTACTTTTGTATTTGGTAATTGAATTACGTGGGCCCTGTCTAAAAATAAGGAATTAAGTTCCTTGATAAGAGAGAACTCATATCCCACCTCCTACCTACGTAATTCAATTCCTTCCCCTAATAAATAGGAACTAACTAACCTATTTACCAAATCTACCCTTATTTAAGTTAGTTATTCACTTAATAGAAGGATATTTTTGTAAGCACATTTATTTTATTTCTATTCCTTTTAATTTTTATGTAAGTAAACAGCATAATAGGAATTTATTTCCGCTTGTAACTTAATTCCCAAATAGATTAGTAAACACTTTAATGGAGTTGTGGAACTTAATTTCCTTTTTCTTGGAATTTATTTCGTATTCTTTCAATTCCTGATTAGTAAACACACTTGTTGACGGTTGATTTTTGCCAACAAGACTTTACCGGATTACCCCTCTATGGTCCGTCGGGATTCCGGTTAAAACCGTTAATTTAACTGAATATTCTAAAGTATGTGTTTATGCTTTGGACGTATTTGTGAAGAGTATTTGGTGCTATGTTTTAGTGGGAAGTAAAAAACGCACATAAGTTTTATAGTGGTTCACCATTATGAAAGAAGAGCTACATCCACTGTATTGTATTTCTTTTCTATTCTTCACAGGTTACATAAAAAATCCTCTCTTTCTCTCTGGGGCTTTGCCCCTTTTATAGCTTACAGATTACCCATCAACATCCCCCTTGGACGAGCTGTCTTTGAGGCTTTTTGACGGTTCCTCTTGAGTGGCCCATCCACTCAAGTGGCACACCATTCTATTTACCTAAACTGTAGCCTGTCAGTCCCTTTTGGACTATTCACTCATCCAATTTGTCCCCTATTACAGCTCTGCAGATCCTCTGTAACTTCCAATGGTCCGTTCCAGGCGGTTTAGGGGTTTGTAATCATTCCCCGCGCAACTGACCTTCTCCAAACCCAGACGTAACCTAGGGATCTCCAGCTTGCCGCTTCAGAAGTCTTTCTTGGGATACAGACCCAGTGACTTGCGTTCTGTCTTCTGCGCCCATGCTGTACTTAGCCAAGTGTGGCCTTCCTCCTGGTTGACCCTATCGCAGCACTTCGAATAGATTACGTAGGCCTCGACTGTATATAGGATTGACGGTCTCATGCCCCCTTAGGCACTCGGCTCTTATACCGGGGGGGGGGGGGATGGGAAGGGGGGGGGGGGGGGGAATGAGAACTTAATTTCCTTTTTCTTGGAATTTATGGATAAAAAGTGCCAGGATAAAACAGTACTTTCAGCTTATACTATCATTTTTTTCTTCATGTACATTCATTATACAATCAATTTTTTCCTCATATACAATCATTTCTATATACATTCATGATATTAATGATAAATTTTTTCATGATTTTTATCATTGCTCGTTATACAATCATTTTTTGTTCTCTCTTTTTGTCGTACTGGGCAGAGCTGGAACTGTGATATCTGAGACCTGGGAAGACGGCCAAGCTTTAAAGGATCTCAATGCTCATCTTGTATGTGATGACTAGACTTCCTATCTTAATGTTTTATGTCGCAAACCAGTATCATTTTTATGTGAGCTAATTCATTTTACTCTACGGACTATAGTGCACCCTTTGAAAAAAATGCTCCAAATATGCTCACACAAAAACAAAAAGGAATATTCATTCTTAGCAAATATACAGAACCAATTGTGCACTTTATCGCTAATGGGTTGGAAAAACAAGTATAATTACTTAGTGATATAATAGTAAGAATCATGTTCAGAAATCACTCATCGCGAGTATTTTTCCCTCAGAGAGGTCTTCAGCTCTAAAATGTTCTTTACTGTTTAGTGCTTCATTAATAGTTTTGCTTTTACTTGTATCAACTTTTGTCTCTCTTCTATCTTTTTATTGCTCCTTTCCCACCCTCTCCATTTTATCTTACCTTTCCTGTACATCTCTTGTTTCCTTGTGTCTTTTGTATTATAATTTTCCTACCTGTACTTGGTTCTAGTTACATGCATTTATTAGGAATTTTTAGCATCTGCATAATCTTCTTCCAACGTAACTTCACATATTAATCATCTATGGCGACTTCAATTTGTTCAGTTGCTTGTATTATGTAATGCAATGTGAATTTTCACCATTGGCTCTGAAATGCTTGGCTAAATCATACGTCATGTTGATTGTTTGCTTTTCAGTCTATTAAATCAAGAGAAATAAACTTGACCACTTATGTCCTTTCCTCAGAGACAATTACTAGAAACAAAGGAGGCTGTTGAGCGGCAACGGAAATCATTAAAGAAACGGCAATCTGGTAAGTTCCATATTTTCTTTTTTCTATGTTCTGTACACATGTTGCAGTTGTCAGTTTTCACTTTTTGTTACACCTTTTAGCATTCCTTAAAGTGCTCTTAGTGCTAATAGCCTTTTCCTCTTCCCTAAGATAAAGGCGATGGAGCTGATGTAGAAACAGGAATGCAAGAGGAAGATATGCTAATCCAGGATGAAATCTATAAATCCCGTCTAGCCAGCATAAAACGCGTTAGTTCACAATATCTACTTGCTGCTTTAGACATTTCCTTGTTCTTTCTGTTGTCATGATAATTATTGGTAAATATTCTCAATCATCATGCTATGGATTTTCTGTAGGAGGAAGAAATCATTTTACGGGAGAGGGATCGCTATGAGGTGGAAAAGGGAAGGCTTATACGTGAAATGAAGCGTATACGAGATGAAGATGGTTCTCGTTTTAACAATTTTCAAGTTCTCAACCACAGATATGCCCTCTTAAATCTTCTTGGGAAAGGTGGTTTCAGCGAGGTTTACAAGGTCAGAACTTTGTGAAAGATGGTATTAGTGTCAAAATATATTATGCCACAATTTTTAATGCAGACTATAGTTACTGGTCAAAAAGTCTAGTTAGTTCCTTGCCTGTATTGGCAATTGTAAAGAAATACCTTTTTGCAGTGATTTGAAGTAAGAAATTTCCAGCAGGCTTATGATTTGGTAGAGCATAGATACGTTGCATGTAAGCTTCATGGTTTGAATGCTCAATGGAGTGAAGAGAAGAAGCAAAGTTACATACGGCATGCCATTCGGGAGTACAATATTCACAAGACGTTGGTACATCATCATATTGTCCGGCTGTGGGACATTTTTGAGATTGATCACAATACATTCTGCACTGTCTTAGAGTATTGCAGTGGTACTCATACCTTCATGATTTTGTTGATCTCAAAGTTTTATGTACTCTATGCTTACCGAGAAGTTAAAGCTTTGTTTTGCTTCAAAATTTGCATCTCAATTGTATTTTCTTTTTCTTTTTTTTTCCCCGCAGGGAAAGATCTTGATGCTGTACTTAAAGCAACGCCTGTATTGCCTGAACGAGAAGCTAGGATTATTATGGTTCAGATATTTCAGGGTCTGATATATTTGAACAAAAGAGCGCAGAAAATTATCCATTATGATCTGAAGCCTGGGAATGTTTTATTTGACGAACTTGGTGTTGCCAAAGTGACCGATTTTGGTCTTAGCAAGATAGTGGAGGATGATGTTGGATCCCAGGGTATGGAACTTACGTCCCAGGGAGCTGGAACATATTGGTAAGTAATAGGGGTATCGGACTATATTGATTGGTCGGCTTTGTTTTGACTTCTTTTAATTTCCCTTTCCCTTCTCTTTTTCTTCTTTGTTTTTTGTTCCCTTCTACTTGTATCGTTTTGTTCTCTAAGCAAAAGGAGTTCTTCTTAAAAATAAAATAAAATAAAATAAAAAAGAGGAAAACTTATTTCTCATTAATTATTAATATATAGTTTCTTGTTTCAAAAAAAAAAAAAACCAAAAAAGAAGGAAAAAGAAAAAAAAGAGGACTAGTGATGAATAATGAAAACTATTCCCTTGCGTAATTTGAGTCATTGTACTTCGCCGTGCAAATGACAATCAGAAATGTTGTGTTTGAGAATCATCTTTTTTTTTTTTGTGGGAGTATATATGCCGAAAGTAATCCTTCTCTAGTATAATGTTTTACAGTAATTAACAATACTGCCTTTCCCGCGGTAATAGTTTGTTTCCAATAGATATGTATTTGGAGTGTTCACAGGTTAGTAGACATACCCATACTAGGCTTATTTCCTATGAACAGGCTAAGACGGTTAATACAAAGAGGTATATGCGTAAAAGGACTATTTTACAACTTGAACAACTCTGAGATAAATTTGGACGTTCTGAATAGTATGCAATCAAATTTAATTTCTTTTTCTTTGATTCCTAGTGATTTCTCACCTTCGTTTCTCATGCTCTTGGACGTAAATCAAACTACTTGGCTAAGAAAGTCCAATTTCATTTGCAGGTATTTACCTCCCGAATGCTTTGAGCTCAGCAAGATACCTCTAATATCATCAAAGGTCAGTGAGTTTTGGGATTTTTTATCCCCCTGTGATCACAAATAGTTGTATCTTTGCAAGTTCCTAAAAAAGCCCTCTTTCTAGGGGAAAAAAGGGAAAGAAAAAGAACCCTGAAAAAAAAATAAAAGAAATTGGTTCCTAATAATTTTGTTCTTCGTTTAAAAGAAATATACTTTATTCCGAAAGCGAGTCCTGTTACCCCACTTTCAGAAGTGTTTTGACCTGAAAGAAGAGCTATTTCAGACAACAAATGTATTTTCTGTATTTTGCATGATTACCTGCCCTTTTTGACAAGCTGTCTCTTCAAACAGGTTGATGTTTGGTCGGCTGGTATTTTGTTTTATCAAATGCTTTTTGGAAAACGTCCTTTCGGACATGACCAGACTCAAGAACGTATACTGCGTGAAGATACAATCATCAAAGCTCGTAAAGTTGAATTCCCTTCTAAACCCTCAGTTTCAAACGAGGCGAAGGTGAGTTATGGCCGCAGTATTATTTGTAAAATATACATTCTGTCTTGCATTATAACTTTTGATTTTTGGGAAGAAGCTTTCGTTTTAGAAGGAAAGAAATAAAAGAATTGTTGGTGTTGGAAGTTTCTGCATGCCTGCATCTTTCTTTTCTCTCTTTTTAATATTTTTTGGCCCATTGTGAGAAATGGAATGGCTATGCTTTCTACTCAGAGTCCAACTAACCAAATTTCAAATGGAAGTATTTAAAGCTTTAGGAATCAAGAGTTTCAGATTTCAGTTTACTTTAATGTTTTACATCAGGTTTCGACTGACGCCTTCCATCATTAACCAAGTTTAGGTCTTGCATCACTACTCCTTATGCCAAACAAGATTTGGGATATAACTAGAATTTTTAGGGGTTGTTCTTTTGCATTTTTGAGTTAGGGTGACTTGAGTGATGATCTTGAGTTGAGTTTGAGTTATAACTTGAGTTGAAGTTGTAACTTGAGTTTGTGTTTGGATGTGCACATTTGAGTTATGATTTGAATTAAAAATCATTTTGAGTTTGTGTTTGAGTGAGTCAAAACTTAAATTTGTATTTAGATAGTATTTTAATAAAAGCTCAATGGTGATGAAAAATTTTAATAGGGTATATGGGTAGGGTTTTATTCGTCTTTTCGTTGTGAATGCATAGAAAAAAAAATCATTTCAATCAAAATTAAAATGAAAAAGTTATGGCATTTTTAAGAATATAAAAAATATTGTTCATTAACTTGAATTCGAGTTTATAAACTCGAGTTGAATGAGAAATTTGAATTCGAGTTTAGCTCCAAACTCGAGTTCAAACTCGAATTTAAACTCGAGTTCAAACTCAAATTTTACAAAAGAACATAAGCTTAAATAAAGTTGTAACTCGAGTTCAAATTTTTTCTGAGTTTTATTGTAAAAGAACAACCCCTTAGTAACCTGTGAATGTGACTTTATTATCACTCAGAAAAGAATCTCAATATAGGAACTAAGTGACATATCCTTCTCGGATAGTTGTAATACAGTTGGTACTTTACACGATCAATTTCAAATCCTAAATCAGTAACATAACAACACTTCCATCTCTCGAGTCTCATTACATCAACAAGAATTTGACTAGCTTAATAATGCTGTTTACATTCTTTCTTCGTAATTATATTTGCAGGAATTGATTCGCCGTTGTCTAACATATAACCAAGCAGAGAGGCCCGATGTTTTGACCATTGCTCAAGATCCGTACCTCTGTTACACTAAGAGGTAACAAATATTGTGTGCAGCTGCAACTTAAAGATGCCAACGGCTGATGGTAAGAAAGTTTTCATTTGTTCTATAGAAAATCAAAGAAATTTACTCCAAGCCCCGATGGAAAGATTTTGTATAGGTTGTAAAGGTTTTGTAATTGTTGGCGTTGTTGCCAAGCTCGCTTTACCTCTCTAATAGGAAATCTGGGGCTTTCACTGATTCGCTCGATGTTTTTTGAGGGTTTAGAGAAACGACCTGACCTGGGAGTTAGGTTATGAAAGGTCCGATTGGACAGGATATATATTTGAAATGAGAAAAGTAACCTGTTTCGTCATTTTCCTAGCTCTTTTCTTTTAATAATAATCTTGTTAAAAATGTGGGGCGCGTTTGGAACTCGTTCCAAAATAATTTTATTTTTTGTATGAAAATGAAAATGAAAACCTTTTCAATCCCAGATAGAAATCATTTTTAAAAATGCGTTTGGTAGTTTTATCAAAAGATTATTTACAGTGTAAAAAAATCTATTAATGGCTCTTTTTCTCTCTGCTCGAGAGAGGAGAAAATGAAAACAAAAAATGAAAAACAATTAAAAGTCGTTTTTCATTTCTCTCTCATTTTATACTAAACTAAAAAATCATTTTCATTTTTGTTTTTTGTCTGTATTGCACCAAACGCTGTTTTGGAAACGTTTTCATTTTTTTTTTCTTAAAAAAGGTGAAAAATAAAAACGGGATAAATTTCAAACACGGCTGTAGTTTCAGCACCAGAAAAGTGGGGTTTTCATTTGAAATGAGCCATTCAAAACCACACAGGACAAGTCACTTTCACAGGTTTGAAGTAGAGTTAAAACCATTTCAGTAGAAAATGGTAAAAACTAGAGTTAGAATGAGGTTATGATTATTCATTTCTAGGCCGCGCATCACTTGGCTATCCACTCAATTTTTCCAGACATCAAAATTTGGTTGAATAGTTTTTGATATGCTTGTATCGATTTGGCCTTTTGTGTTGTTTACCGTATTGTATTGTACGATAATTGATGGATAGTATTCATACAAGACAAGTTATAATGGTGTAACAAAGTTTCTACAGATGCGTAGTTTAGATCCTAGTTGGTTTTAGGAAGTCTATGTGTGCGTTTGGTAGTATTTCTTTGAGTCAAAAATCACTTCTCTAACCATCAGAAGTTGATAATGATTTTTAATAAAAATCATAAAAAGTGATTTTTAAAGAATTTTTAAAGAATTTACAGTCAAAATCAGAAGCAGTCTTAAGGCAATTTTGGCTTTTAAATTGTGCGGGAATTAACATAGTACAATTAATGATTATCAACAAAGTTATATTAAATAATTATTTATTAATTACTAATTATATTATATATTAATTAATAATTAATAGATAGTAATTACTTAATTATTAATTTATTACTATTAAGTTTTTAATTTTGTTAATAAAATAATAAATAATATAGCAATTATTTATTTAGTTAAAGATTAATTATCAAAAATTAATTATATAACATATTAACAATAAAACAAGTAATAATAGGTTATTAAATAAATAATTAATATATCAATCATGTATTATGTTAATTATGATCTATTAATTAGTAAATAGTTGGTAAATAAAAAATAAATAGTAATTACTCAATTAATATTAAATTATAGTCATCAATATGTAATATATTAATCAATAATAATTGATAATTAGTAATTATTCATTATAAAAAGAATAATTACTAAAAATTGATCATGTGATATATCAAATAATAGATTATTAAATAAACATTAGTAATTAATTAACTAATTATTTAATTATCTAACTAAAAGTTAATAATTTAAGTAGTAAACGAAATATTAATAAATTATGTATATACTAATTTCATTTGCAGGCAAGTATGTGAAGCAGAAGCTTGATTCAATTGACCACAACAACTTTAGCTACAGCCATAGCTTGATCGAAGGAGAAGTTTTGTCTGCCGAAGTTGAGAAAATCTCTCACGAGACCAAGTTCGTTGCATCCCCAAATGGAGGAAGCATCATTAAGGTTACTACCATGTTCCACACCGTCGGAGATGCCCAGGTCGATGAAGCAAAGGCTAAGGAAGGAAAAGAAAAGGCCACTGGTCGGTTCAAGCTCGCCGAAGGCTACTTGAACGCAAACCCCGATGCTTACAACTAAATCTGTTAAATTCTTGTCAAATTACTTTTTTTTTTCTGTATAAGTTAAAGGGTGTGGCTTGCAGGCTTGCCAATAATTAAAGAGTGTGGTGTTGTTAGTCCGGTTTGTGCTGAAATGTTTGAGAAAACATTTTATCTTGGGTTATTGACAAGAATGATCCTAACTTTTTTAAAAAGTGACAGTTTAATCTTAATTTTTTTTTTTTTTACAAATCGACCAATTTTATGGATCGCCCAATGCATATGACTACCCACGTGACCCAAATTATTAGTGGAAAGATGAAATTGCCCTGTAGAACTTTTCTTTCATCCTTTCAACAACAAGAACTTCATCTTCTTCGACACAAAAAAAACCCAGAAACATCAAATAGAAGGATGACTAGTAACATAAAAACCAGAAACAATACAACCTAGAAACCCATAAACAATACAAGAACTTCATCTTCTGCAATAGAAGAACTTCATCTCTTCAATACAAAAAAAAAAAAAAAAGAAAAAAACCAAGAAACTCGCTCTCTCTCAAGACCACCACCGGTCAAATGCTCAACACCAGATCCGAATTGAGAAACTCATAAAAAAACCCAAATATTATAAGTGCCAAAACCAAAACCAAAAAAACCCACCAACTAAAAAATTCAGAGAAACCCAAATAAGAAAACCAGAAATGATTTTTCTTTTCTCATTTTTTCTCAGAATCAACATAAACAGCAAACGAACCATGAAAAGAATCAAAGAAGACAAAACATGCCTAAGAACAACCCACAATCCAAAGAGATCAAAAATATTCAAATCAAAAGTTTTCGGGCACCTGGAGGAGCTGCGTGAGCTTGGAACTGAAGGGTGTAAGTAATGGCAAGCGTTGTTAGAACGAGAAAGAAAAGGGAATTTCTTCCCATGGCTCTCTCTCTCTCTCTCTCAGCGCCAATTCGAGCAACGTGTGTTTTTACACATATACCCCAACATCCTGGTCACGTGGGATGGGTCGATAGTTTTCGGACATATCTTAACAGAAATTATTAAATTTTAACTATTTAAAGTCGTTAAGGGTTGATTTATCAAAAAAATAAATAAAATTAAACTGTCACTTTTTAAAAAAATTATGAATCATTCTTGTCAATAACCATTTTATCTTTCATTAGTAATATAAATAGTATTTGTGATTTGCCAATGTTTTATCCCCATCTTGGTTAGTTTTTCTTACATCTTTCTTAATTAAATGTCTCGTTCATTTTACCGATTCGAGTTTAAAATTCGAGTTTTGTTACAGTAAAAAACTCTTAAAAACAGTCACATCTAACTTTTTTACTACAGTAAAAAGTTTTCACATAAAATCACATCTTAACTCGAATCAGCGAACCAAACGGTAGTTTGAAGCTTTGAAATGGACTTAGCATATGACCAAAATTTAAAAGCAAAATTCGCCAAATAACTGGCCTTCACATATAAATGAGGACATTTGTAAATCACCCCTAGTCAATTTTTAAGCTGGCGAACCTGGGATATATAGGGATGTATTACGTAATCTTTTTACTTCTTTAAACTAATAATTCCACATTTTTTACACGTCTACAATTTGCACTTTGGTTGATTAATTAGATTTGTCTTCAAATATATCTCATGTCCTTGTCACAAAGGCAACTGTCATTATGGAGAAGTAAAAGAGCAAACAAACAAAACGGTAAACTCCAAGGAAACTGTTCATATATATTTATCTCATAATTCATTTTTATCCGTAGATATCATACAAAATAGACACATATCCGACTTTTATTTTGTCCATTGATAGTCCCACAAGTTGGTGAACGTAGTATTCACAAGTTTATATGGACTCCCACAACTACTGTTAAAACTACTTTTTTCAAAGTCATTTGAGCAAAAATAAATAAAATAAATAAATAAATAAAAACTACTTTTTCAAAGTCAACTAAACGTGGAGATTGGGGGAAGTAATATTTAATATTTTGCTGGCCTTTCATGACGATATAACTTAGAGGAAGAAAGTCGGTTGAAGTTACATAAATTGACATATATAGCCAAAGTTGGCTACATAAATTGATTTGGACAGCCATTTCTAACTTCTATAATCACCCATCGAATTCTAGAGAAAAAATTTATGACTGATCATCATTTAGACTATACACGTTGACTTGGGCTTTAACCATAATATATATTTGGATAATTGAAAATGCATTTTATATATTTGGTTTTCTATCCCTTTATTATTTTCTGTCGTTTTCTACTTTAAGAGCCGTTTCATTCTTTTTTAGCCGTTCATCGCATATTGTCGTTTTCAGACTTTACTTTGTGGTCTTTCAACATTCTCTGTTTTGATGTCGTTTTGATTTTTTGGCCAGTCGTTCAATCTTTTTTAGTGTTGTATATGGGTTGGGTTGGTGCGGGGTAGGGATTTTTCTTGTCACGCCCCAAAGGGTGTGGGTTGTACATATTTAGCCCCAACAATATTAGAAAATTTTCATAACTCAATGATGTTTGGGTTGGGTTGGGATAGGGCAGGGTGGGTTGAGTGGTCGGGTTCATCATTCAAAAAACAAAAGTTCAATCCAACATTCAAAGTTCATCATCAAATAGAAATAATAACTCCAACATTCAAAGTTCATCATCAAATAATAATGATCATCAAATAAAAATAATACTGATAATCAAACATAACTCTAAAATTCAAAGTTCATCATCAAAAAGAAATAATACTGCTTAGTTCATCATCAAATAAATAGTAATTCAAAATTCAATCCAACATCAAACATGAAGCAAAGTAGTCCATCCAACATCAAACATAAAGCAAACATAAATTAGAGGCTTAATTCAAATTCATCCAAAGCAAGCACCGCAACAACAACCATCCCTATCAGTCCACACTCATAGGCTCCTTATCAGGCATGTTTGTGCGGGTTGGATTAGGGGTGCGGGTTATTATAGGCTCAACCCACAAACCGTTCCAAACACCTCAGACCAAACATTTAGTAGGCCAAAAAATAAAAAATAATGTTATAAGTTGCCTTGTTCGGGTTGGGTTGGGTTTGCGGGTTGTTCAGGTTTATGTACACCCCTAATCTTTTTTTGTTGTATGACGCTTTTTTTTTGTCGTTCACTTCTTAGAGTCCTTTCTCAACTGTTGTCGTTGTGATTTTTTTTTATTACTGATTTCCATATTCGTTGTTTATAGATTTCTTAATGGAGAGGTTCATTAAGTGTTAATTTCTACTTCTCCGTTTTTATTTGAGGAATAAGTATGCATGACATAAAAGGTTTTAGAAACATTATGACGTCCCTTGGCTGAAGTGGAAGATTATTAATCTTAAAGCACTTTCCTAATTACCTTTCAATAATATATATATATATATATATATATATATCATGCAAAGCCTCAAATTGTGTCCATCATCAAGGATGTTTTATCCAGAAGGTTCCCTTAGCTATTAGAGGAAGACCACATGTGACGAGTGCATAAGTTGTGGGGCATGTGAGTTATAAAATAATCACCGGGAAATAAGACTTTTGAAAAGATATAAAATAAAAAATAAAAAACGTTTTTCAAATATTATATCCAAAATAAAAAAAGAAAAGAGATATTTGCTGATTATTAATGCTGATTATTGCCTACTGGCTGGCATTTTTAGAAGTCAACCTTCAAATCTTGAAAATAGTGGGGGGGAAAAAAAGGAAAAAAGAATAGTGCTTCACCACTTACCAGGGACAAAATGTTTTTTTTTTTTTCTTTTGAGGATTTTATATGATTTGAATCAAATAGAATAATTATGACATTTCATCTGCATATGAAGTAGGATAACCAATAACCAAAAAGGTATATATGTATATAGAGCTTGGATAGTGAATTATGTTTGATAAAGTATTCTGATCTCAGAATAGTAAAGGTTCCATTTTTCTACCATTTTCTGCTTCTTTAATTTCAATGCAGTTAACATAAATTGTCCAATTTTTTCCCCTGCGCATTGAACCATATATTCACATATAGGATAAATATATGAAATGTTATCAATCTTGGATCCAACGATCTTTCTTTATTCCTAGCTAGTTGTGAGTAAATTCATATTAAATCAACCGAGAGGCGCCTTCTTTGACTAAAATGCAAATTATTTAACTCCTTTAAAAGAAATGCTACTTATTTGAGAACTATTATAATTTCCCAGCACGGCAAAGATAATAATAGTTTTTCTCGTCAATCATGTAAACATCCAATAAAAGAATATTTACTCGCTAAATTACTCAATAAATCAGGGGATATTTCATACGGAGCAACCAGAAGCCTTAGCCTATAAATAGCAGCACTATAATGCACATCTCTTCAACACAAAACACCTCAAAGTTCAAAACAACCCTTCCTTATCTTTTCCTCTTTGAACCCTTTCGAAACCTTAGATCATCATGGGTGTTTTCTCTTTCGATGACGAGTTCACCGCCAATGTTGCTCCCGCTAGGCTGTTCAAGGCCTTCGTCCTTGACGCTGACAACCTTTTCCCAAAAATTGCTCCCCAAGCTGCTAAAAGTGCTGAGACTGTCGAAGGAAATGGAGGGCCCGGAACCGTCAAGAAGCTTACCTTTCCTGATGGTATAGTAAAATTTTACTTTATCTCCGTGATCTTGTGTATTTATGATTTTAATGAAGACACATTTATATTTCTTCAATTGAAAGAGAAAAAGAGAATAATTCATTTTTTCATGTGTTTACGTACTCACTAAATTACGAAATACAATTTGAATTCCTAACAAACATTAATTAGATAAGTTTGCACATAAATAAAAGGACGCTTCTTTCCATTTCAATCCCTTTCCTTTTCTTATTACAACCAATTCGATACCCTGAAGCAATAAAGATGGTATATGCAAATTTCGAACCAAATCAGAGTTTCATGTGAAATTTCATTTGCAGGCAAGTACGTGAAGCAAAAGCTTGATGCAGTTGACCTAGACAACTTGAGCTACAGCCACAGCTTGATCGAAGGAGATGTTTTGTCTGCTGAACTTGAGAAAATCTCTCACCAGACCAAGTTTGTGGCATCCCCAGATGGAGGAGCGATTATTAAGGTCAACACCAAGTTCTACACCATTGGAGATGCCCCGATCAATGAAGAGAAGGCTAAGGAGGGAAAAGAAAAGGCCGTCGGTCTGTTCAAGCTCGTCGAAGGCTACCTCGTCGCAAACCCCGACGCTTACAACTAAATGATCAGTTGAACCATATGCTTGTCAAATTAATTTTCTTTCTATAAGCTAAAGGGTGTTGCTTTCATGTTGTTTTGTCTCCTAGACTTTCTAGGCTTTCCAATAAGAGTGTGGAGTTGTGATAATCCTGTTTGCATTGAAATGTTAAAGAAAGCATTGTATCTTTTACAAATTACATAATGATCATATATTGCACTAAAAGAGTTCCTGTGTTTCATTTGTGTGTCATCCCCATCTGCGTTTATTTTTTGCTACATCTTTCTATTGTCGATCCAATGCATATTCTCTCACATTTTTTAGATGTAATCTACTTCGCTACCTTTTGAAGCCTTTGAAAAGACTGTACATAGAAATATCTTACCATATGTGTTGAGGGGTAGTCATTTTTATGACCGAAATAATAGGCCCCGCACCAAAGCATGTCAACGGGGAAGAACAGCCCGAACAGGCTAACTACGCCAAACAGACCTTGAAAAAATTGACTTTGCTACTTTTGAAGCCTTTGAAAAGACTGTAATCTACTTTGTTGCTTCGCTACCTTTTTGAGATGTAATCTACTTCGCTGCCTTTTGAAGCTTTTAAAATGACTGTACTTAGAAAAAATCATACCATATGTGTTGAGGGGTAGTCATTTTTATGACTGAAAGAATAGACCCCCTGCCAGAGCAGGCCGACGGGGAAGAATAGCCCGAACAGGCCGACCACGCCAAACAAACCTAGAAAAAATCTACTTCGCTACCTTTTGAAGCCTTTGAAAAGATTGTAATACTTCGCTACTTCACTATCTTTTTTAGATGTAATCTACTTTGCTACCTTTTAAAGCCTTTGAAAAGATTGTACTTAGAAAAAATTTTATCATATGTGTTGATGGGTAGTCATTTTTATGACCGAAAGAATAGGGCCCCGCCAAAGCAGGCGACGGGGAAGAACTGCCCGAACAGGCTGACCACGCCAAACATTCCTAGAAAAAATCTACTTTGCTACTTTTGAAGCCTTTGAAAAGACTATAATCTACTTTGCTACTTCGCTACCTTCTTGAGATGTAATCTACTTCGCTACCTTTTGAAGCTTTTGAAACAACTGTACTTAGAAAAAATCTTACCATATGTGTTGAGGGGTAGTCATTTTTATGATCGAAAGAATATACCCTCTGCCAGAGCAGACTGATGGGGAAGAATAGCCCGAACAGGCTGACCACGCCAAACAAACCTAGAAAAAATCTACTTCACTACCTTTTGAAGCCTTTGAAAAGACTGTAATATACTTCGCTACTTCACTACCTTTTCGAGATGTAATCCACTTTGCTATCTTTTGAAGCCTTTGAAAAGACTGTACTTAGAAAAAATCTTATCATATGTGTTGAGGGGTAGTCATTTTTATGACTGAAAGAATAGACCCCCTGCCAGAGCAGGCCGACGGGGAAGAATAGCCCGAACAGGCCGACCACGCCAAACAAACCTAGAAAAAATCTACTTCGCTACCTTTTGAAGCCTTTGAAAAGATTGTAATACTTCGCTACTTCACTATCTTTTTTAGATGTAATCTACTTTGCTACCTTTTAAAGCCTTTGAAAAGATTGTACTTAGAAAAAATTTTATCATATGTGTTGATGGGTAGTCATTTTTATGACCGAAAGAATAGGGCCCCGCCAAAGCAGGCGACGGGGAAGAACTGCCCGAACAGGCTGACCACGCCAAACATTCCTAGAAAAAATCTACTTTGCTACTTTTGAAGCCTTTGAAAAGACTATAATCTACTTTGCTACTTCACTACCTTCTTGAGATGTAATCTACTTCGCTGCCTTTTGAAGCTTTTGAAACAACTGTACTTAGAAAAAATCTTACCATATGTGTTGAGGGGTAGTCATTTTTATGACCGAAAGAATATCCCCTCTGCCAAAGCAGACTGATGGAGAAGAATAGCCCGAACAGGCTGACCACGCCAAACAAACCTAGAAAAAATCTACTTCACTACCTTTTGAAGCCTTTGAAAAGACTGTAATATACTTCGCTACTTCACTACCTTTTCGAGATGTAATCCACTTTGCTATCTTTTGAAGCCTTTGAAAAGACTGTACTTAGAAAAAATCTTATCATATGTGTTGAGGGGTAGTCATTTTTATGACTTTTTTTTGTATAAAAATAGAAATGAAAACGTTTTTAATCTCAGACAGAAATCATTTTTAAAAATGTGTTTAGTAGTTTTATTAAGAAATTATTTTAAGTATAAAAAAATTTATTAATATCTCTCTATTCGAGAGAGGAGAAAATAAAAACAAAAAATTAAAAACGACTAAATTTTTTTTTATTTCTCTCATATTTTACATTAAATAAAAAAATTATTTTTATTTATGTTTTTTAACTTTAATTGTGTCAAGCGCTTTTTCTTTTCTACTTTCATTTTTTTTTTCAAAAAACGCAAAAAATAAAAATAAACAGAGCATCTATTTTTATTTTTATTCTCAGTCAATAATTAACGTGGCAAAATTAAGCGAGAAAAGAAAAAAAAAAATCCTAAAAATGGGATTTTCACCTTATTTTGCCGCCATTTATCATTCGCTTTTCTTCCTGGTCGATCTTCTTCAGCTCTGACTTTGGAGAAGGAAAGCATCTCCGCGCCAAAGTTCACTGCCGGTGCGTACGCTGCTTAACCTGCGCACCCTCACCCCTTTTCTTCCATTTCTCTTCTGCTCCCCTCAATTTTCCTTCTCTCTCTCTCTCTCTCTCTCTCTAAAACTTTCTGCCTCTAAAACTGCACAGTCTGGGAACTCCATCGGCGACTCTAATTGGTAAGGTTTTTCTCGCCCGAATCCGCCATGATTTTCTCGAAATAGAACTTTGCAGTGGTTGAAACCCTAGGACCGAATTCGAGCCACTGATTTTGGCGAACGGGATTGCGTTTTCAGTACCGTGCTACTAGCTAGGGTTTTTGGTTATATTTCACCGATTTTACTGTGATTCTCGATTTCTCTAGTTTTTGTTCTCATTGCGTCTTGTGAAATCAATTTTTTGTTGTTTGGTTGCTGAGTAACTCTGAGAATCTTACTATTCTTGCACTAATTTAATTCCTTAGGCACAAGCTCTTCCATGTCTCAGTAAGACAGTCACAATTCAGATATTCGATTATTATAACAGTCACTGTATTTATTATATTGATTTTTGTTTCTTTGTTTTGCTTTTCTCTTGTCTCACAGAGGTTGGATAGCCTGGAAATTTCAACATGTATATAAAACAGGTGAGTTCCTGTTGTGGTTCGAAGGTTGCCGTCTTTACCTTGGCTATTTGTCCCTTTTTGAACCATTTCTTTATATCTACTGTTTTTGTTTAGGTCAAAATTGAGGGATTTAAGAGCTACAAGGAAGAAGTTGCTACTGAGCCCTTTAGTCCGAAAGTCAACTGTGTTGGTAATGTTGTGATTACTTTGCTAATTGCTGTAGAGGGATGCTTTTTTGGTTGTTTCTTCTCTTCACTGACTGAAATGCATGTGGATTTATTGCATTTTTTAGTATAAGTTTGTCCCGAAACTGTTGTCATGTAGTGTTTCATTGAGTGCGAAAATGTAAATGTTTACTAGAAGAGTACAAGTTGTCCTCACATACAGAAAGATTACAATAAGGGAAACGAGAGCTGAAAGGAAAACATTGAAATTTAACATAATCAGACAATGGAACATTGTTGAAGTCCTATGAGTAGAAATCAGTAAGCAAAGTACTTGATAAATAAATTTTGTTATATGGCAATACTCACCATCTAAAGTGTATTACTTTTGTTGGAGCAAAGTTGATACTTTAGGCCTCGTTCAGTTCGCAAATTCGAGTTGAGATGTGATTTTATGTGAGAGTTTTTCACTGTAGCAGAAAAAGTTAGATGTGACTTTTTGTGAGAGCTTTTAACTCTAGCAAAACTGGAATTGAAAACTCGAATTGGTGAAATGAACGGGGCCTTAGAGGTTCTCATTTGTTTCCATAGTCCATCTATGACTCATTAGGCAAAGTGTTAAATCACACCTTCTCATTCCTTTTTTTCTTTTATTATTATGCCATAATATAAATTACTTGAGATTTTAAGACCCCAAAGGGTTAGTTGAGTGCCAGGAATGTGGCTTTTGCTTTCTACTTTTCTCTTACATGGTACGGGGTTTAATTCCTTAGGACCATCTAACTGAGAAACAACTTTGAGTTTCATGATTCCCAAAGATTGTAGAGCTTTTAGTAGGGGTCTTGTATTAGGAACTTGAACTCGTTAAGTGGGTTTGGAGGATGCTTAGACATAGGGGTCTTGCATTAGGAACTTGAACTTGTTAAGTAGGTTTGGAGGATGCTTAAACACACACACACACACACACACACACACACACACACACACACACACACACACACACACACACACACACACACACACACACACACACACACACACACACACACACACACACACACACACACACACACACACACACACACACACACACACACACACACACACACACACACACACACACACACACACACACACACACACACACACACACACACACACACACACACACACACACACACACACACACACACACTGACACTGTGATGCGAGTTGAAATATTCATGTAACTCAACAATTACAGGAAAAAACCCAACTCAAAGGAATCAAAGGAAGAATAGAATCTCAAAATTTTATCCACTGAAGACACGTGATTATCCTTTTAATTATAGTTTTTCGCTTTATTATTTTTCATAAACATTTATGTTTCTCATTAAAAGAGAAATCAGAGTCCTCTTCGAAACATCATTAATCTATATGGAGCTTTAATAGCATTGACACTATGTATATTATTCGTAGTTGCAACTTAGACTATAGGCATTTCAATAATTCAGAAATTTTTGAATGATTTTGACTTTTAGAAATCTAGAGAGTCCCCACTCTTTAGAATTTAAATTTTTAATTTGCATTACTATTTCGTTTGCTGTTCCATTCAGTTTGTTGTTCTAATCGTGCTATCTATCTGCCTTAAACACTCTTTTCTGCACATAGTTTGAATTATGTGCGACTTTTTCTTTTGCTAATTGGGTATTTTACAATATCTACTGAAAATTTTAATTATTTCATTCACAGTCGGTGCCAATGGATCTGGCAAGTCAAACTTTTTCCATGGTATGAGCAAGAATCAGATCTCATCTTTACATTCGTCTTACTTGTTCGCATGTCATTTCTTGAAGGCCATCCTTTTTTTTTGGTATAATGATCTTATTGGGTTTTTAAATGTATTCTTTTGTAGCTATTCGTTTTGTACTAAGTGACCTCTTCCAGAACCTACGAAGTGAAGATAGGCACGCGCTGCTCCATGTATGTTCAATATTTCTTTGTCCATTGCCTGTCCGATTTTGTGCTTGTCTCTTGTAATTATTTCATAATTTTAACTTCTCTACGTGTCATTATTGGACAGGAAGGTGCAGGGTACCAAGTTTCGTCTGCATTTGTTGAGATTGTGTTTGATAATTCTGACAATCGTATCCCGGTACCATCCTTTTCTAAAAATTTCACATTTTTCCCAGAGAGGATGGGGAGGGGGGAGGACGTGGGGTCTTAAATATGGGAATTCATTTTGTTTTTGTTTTCTCTGTTTCTATATTATCTTTGGATAATTGCCTGGATTTGGGTGAGGATTGAAGAGAGAGATTTTATAAAGATAAAGCTTTGAATTGAAGAAAAAAATAATTTTCTAAAATCTATGTACATGTCAATAATAATGTTCCAAAAACAAGCATTTTGTACTGAATATAGATTTTGTAGACTATAGTTTTATATTTAGATTTAGTGTACTGAACGTAAAATTCGCGCCATATAAGGCAACATCTTGTAATATCAAATTTATCTGTTTCTGAAGTGGCATCATCTGCTTATCTTTTCTGCAAGCTTTTACAGTTGTGGCTTATTATTTTTGCTCACAGTTATAATGCCTCTCTGTCTCGACAAAAGTTGGGTTTCACATCCATTGGTTACCCTTCTTGTCACTGTCTTACCGTGTATCTCCATGTCTCAGGTTGATAAGGAGGAAGTTTGCTTGCGTAGAACAATTACTCCGAAGAAGGATGATTATTTCTTGGATGGAAAGCACATCACGTGAGTTATTGACCTCTAAGAACCTGGTGTGATCATTACAGGCTTTCTGGTGTTAATTTGTAATAACAAATATCAATAATTATTTTCAGTAAAACTGAAGTTATGAATTTATTGGAAAGTGCCGGGTTCTCTCGATCCAATCCTTACTATGTTGTGCAGCAAGGAAAGGTATTCTTATACTGCTATTTGAGTTTGCCTGTTAGTATTTAAATCTACCTGAAAAACTTTCACGTGGTAAGTTTTGTATTATCGTCCTTTTGATAGATAGCATCGTTGACATTAATGAAAGACTCTGAAAGGCTGGATTTACTAAAAGAAATTGGTGGAACTCGAGTCTATGAGGAAAGACGTCGAGAAAGTTTGAAAATTATGCTGGAAACTGGCAAGTCATTCTTGAGCTGTTTTTTATGGTTTTCTAGGATAAAATTGTTTTCATGTGTTAAGTATGTATGTATATATGCGTGTGCGTATGTGTTATAACCTTTTATACATTTATCTTGTCAATCAGGCAATAAAAGAAAGCAGATAATTCAAGTTGTTCAGTACTTGGATGAGAGGTTAAAAGAATTGGATGAGGAGAAAGAGGAACTAAGGAAATATCAACAACTTGACAAGCAACGCAAATCTCTAGAATTTACTATTTATGACAAGGAACTTCATGATGCTCGGCAGAAGTTGGCAGAGGTTAGTCAATATCATAAGTTTAGTTGTGTAAAAGGTTGTTTTATATTATTCTCGTTACCTCATAGAGCTTAAGACATCGTTGTTTGTTGGCTTACATTGGTCAAAAGCCTCTTGTTTTGGCATAATGTAATTACTAGAATGTGCAATTCACACAAATAGAAGCAGTGCAAGGACGAGATAAAAATGCAATAAATAGTTATATGGTACTGTTGTATTCTACCTTCCTTTTTCTTTTCTTTTCTTTTTAGATTTAGATTTTGTTGTATGGAACAATGTGGTTGTCATTTTCTCTTAGCTCAAGGTTTCATGTTTTAATTGGCCTTTTATCTACTTAAATTTGTCTTGACAGTATTTTGTCTGCTTGGAAATGAAATCATATTTTTGTTGTGTTTCTTTTTGTTGCCCGAGCACACAATGTCCTCTTATCTTTTTATTAGAATCACATCAATATAAAGTTTCTTGTCTTATATAAAAAGTAGAAATGAAATCATGTTTTATAACATTAACAACATTGTTCACTGAGCATTTTAAGTGCATTGGTTCGTACAGAAGTGGATCTGAAAGCTACTCATGTAGATTTGTCTATGTCTGAGGCAGTGACAGATTCTAAAGCCTTTTGAATTAACTTACTTCAGGTGGAAGAGGCACGGACCAAAGTTTCTGAAACGTCAGCAAGGATGTATAATAGTGTGCTGGATGCCCATGAAAAATCCAAAGACTTGGACAAGGAAATGAAAGATCTAACAAAAGATGTTCAAGCTTTAAGTAAAGAGAAAGAAGCAGCAGAAATCCGAAGAACAGAAGCAATAAAGAAGCACACAGAGCTTGAGCTTGACGTCAAAGATATTGAGGAGAAGATGTCTGGAAATATTCGGGCCAAAGTAAACCTTGTTTATGTCTTGTTTTTTTAGTTTTCACTGTCATTTTCTTTTTCCTTTTCATTTTTGAAAACTAAATGAGGTTTTTGGTAATGAGAGACCAATTGAATGTTGCTATTGTTTATTCATATCGTGATCCAATTAAATGAGTTTTATCTGAGTTTGAAGTTTCTTGGGTGATCCCAAAAGCGGTTACGGAAATCTTCAATGGTGAGTTTTTGGATAGTAGAAGGAGAAGGCTTTGGAATGTTGCTACTCTTTCTATTACTTGGGTACTTTGGTTAAAGAGGAACAACTGAATATTTGAGGACATAGAGGGAGCTGTTAGTGTAGTTTGGGAGAGAATCAAGTTTTGTGTGGCTTTATGGTTTCTCAAGTTAAAGGCCTCACTGCTTTTTCCTTTTTGGATTTGCTTAGAGGATAGGATTTAGTTCTTCAATAGATTTGTGTTTTTGTTTTTAGCTTTTTGGTGCTGGCTTTGTTTTGTTTAGGTGGACGCCTTGTCGCATGTTGTATTCTTAATTTTTATCTTTTTTCAATAAAATTTTGTTTCTTATCAAAAAAAAAATCCTATCATGTCCATTTAGGATGATGCAGTCAAGCAACTTGAAATTCTGAAGCAAGAAATTCAGGACTCAATGAATGAGCTTGACGAAATAAATCCTTTGTATGAAAATCAAGTCACGAGGGAGAAGGAGATAACAAAGGGGTAAGTCTTCTGCTCCCATCCGTGAAGGATGTGTATATTTTATTTTCTTTGGAGCATTTCATTTTCATAGTTTAATGTCTCATTTTGCAGCTTGGTTCACATCAATAAATTTCTGTCCCCATCTCTTTGGTGGAAAATCTTTTGTTTAGTTACACCAAGACGGATTGTCTACTGCCCTTATTTTCCACCTTACCTTTTTGAGTTTATGCTGAATGCAACTAGTGTAATTATTACTGTAATTCAGCTATATCATTATTTTTGTCACATTTATTTACAAAATGTGTCTTTTTTTCCTCTTGATTTTCTGACATGGAACTACGGTCTTGTAGCATTTGGTGGTATCTAGCATTCTTGTAGTCAACATACCTGTGTGTCCATATTTGTAGTATGTTTTGCCCTTTGAATTGTACAAGTATCTTTCTGTCATGATGGGTTGATGCAATGCAGAATAATGGAGCGTGAGAAGCAACTTAGCATTCTCTATCAAAAGCAAGGCCGTGCCACTCAGTTCTCTAATAAAGCTGCTCGTGACAAATGGCTTCAAAAGGAAATTAGGGATCTCAATGTTGTTCTTAGTTCGAATTTGGACCAGGTAGTTCTGTAATTCGTTTATTCTATTGTGATATATCCTTTTATGATGTATCCAATTACTGGAAGTTAACATGTAGGTTGAAAATATGGACTTAGATATTTATACTTTGATGCAAAATTATGCCGACATTACTGATTATATGGTCAACATTTCAGCATTACGCTTCTTTCTGAGTATCCTTAGTTCCCTTTGTTGCTTTGGGGGAAAACTTGTGCTGAGATTATTGGTATAGTCAGCATTTCATCATTTTGTCGGTTTCGGCCATTTCCTGTGTTTTATATTCTAGCTGTCATTTCTGCTCATATCGCTGATATAGTGGAAAAGGAGGATCAGGCTGGTAGGCCATAAGAAGGTTTCTTTTAGTCAATGCCAATGAAAGGAGTGAAATTCAGGACAAGGCAAGATGAGGTGCATGACCGGGGTTTTTGTGGGGGTGGGTGAAGCCTGAAGCTGTCAAATGCTTGGTCGAGGGTAAAGTAATACAAGTATACGATTGAATTGAATACTGGGAATCTGACAACTTTTGGGGATGGAGTTCAGTTTTGGGTAGTTTCGAAAATGGTGCAAGGAATCTGGATTAGGAACTTTCCTTTCAATATTTTTATAATTGGGAGAATATTGTTTTAAGTTCTCCCTTTATTATTGTTGGTTTTGAGAGAGTTTCTGATCTTCTCTTTTCGTAGGGTCTTTTCCCCCTCTTAAATAAAGTTGTTTTTCTGTTATATTAAAAAGCATCTGACAACCATTGCGTGAGTTTTGTCTTCTTTGTTCCAGTTTTCTGTTTCTTCTAGTTTTGGTAGATTTCTTGCACTTTGTGCCCCTTTGTACTTTTCTGTTGATGAAACATTTTTTTTGTTTATATGATATATCTAACACCTAATATTTTCTTGTACTCCTGTTTATTCCAGGAGAGAAAACTTCAGGATGAGATTCATCGGCTTAATTCTGAGTTGAGAGAGCAAGATGTCTACATTGAAAGTCGTAAAACAGAAATTGCGAATCTGGAGTCCCTCATTTCTCAGTCTCGTCAAGGCTTCAACTTTCAGCGATCACAGAGAGATGAGTTGCAGAATGAGCGGAAGTATGGGTTCCTTTGCAATTATATAGTAGCGTTTTTGTTTGAGAGATCTCTATTTTATTAAAGTGTTTATTTCCATAGGGTCTTATGGGGAAAAGAAACGGAACTTTCTGCTGAAATTGATAAGCTGAGAACTGAAGTTGAAAAGGCAGAAAAGAGCCTCGATCATGCAACTCCCGGTGTAAGTGTCTCTTGTAGTTTGTTATTATTGATATATTGTTGACTTATTGTGCTTTCATGAACCTCAATACATGTTTTCTTAATTAGTGGGTCTTTTGGTATCCACTTTATACACTAAGTCAATTTGAATTTCTTTTTATATGTGTTAGATTTGTTGCCATAGGCCATTTTAATTTCCTTAGCTGTTGTGATGGGTGTTTTAGGGGGAACCTTTTGTTTGGGGTTCTCTCTTTTTGGATACACTAACAGGCTCAGAGCTTGATTGATGTATGCCTATTTATTTAAAGTTAACGGAGTCCTAGTGGAGGAAAGAGGAAGGAAGATATCTTCTAAAGGTTTTATGGTGGCTTACTTATGTGCAATAGGGGGGACGTGAATTGGAGTGTGCAGGATTTGGAGTCACAATAATGTTGTTTACTTAGGTTAAACCGTTAAAGGTTTCAGAATTGAAGTCATTGAGAATTTCACATATGCATTGACTTAACCAAAAGTTAGAAGGAACTGTTGCAACTTTACTTATATATTTTATTAAGTACAAATTTGATTTCAATTTGAAAAGGTGCATTGTATACTTTTTTTTTTGGTAGAAAAATTGAAATAAAGTGTAAAAAATTGAATAAAATAAATAGAAAATTAAAATTAAAGGGTTCAAAAATTGAAATATATTATTTTGCTTCATTAAAAGATAAATTGTATACTTATTTTAATGGAGTTAATAACAATTAAGATAATTGTTATAATAGCATGCTTATAAAATGTTAAACATAGGGTTTTTTTTTTCATTTCTTTTTTTTTTTTCCCCAACTTTTTGCACGTGAACTAGGGATAAGATAGTAATTTAATATTTTTTTATAAGAAAAACGAAATTTATTGATAAAAATCCATAGCAGTAATTTAATATTACTATAGGATTGGGAGTCCCAATCCAGAGGGAGGGCTTGGGATTGCCAATCCATTTCTCAATCCTAAATTTGTGAGGGGTCCACCAATCCTACTTCCATTCTAGGATAAAAATGGGTAAGTAAACATGAGATTGACTCCCATTTCCAATTCTTGATAAGTAAATATGCCATTAGTTTAACTTTTATACAAATGAGGATCCACCAATCCTACTTCCATTCTAGGATAAAAATGGGTAAGTAAACATGGGATTGACTCCCATTTCTAATTCTTGATAAGTAAATATGCCATTAGTTTAACTTTTATACAAATGAGGCTTCCACCTATCTTTTATCCATCTCCTGTGGTCCATCATAGATAGGACATAAATGAGGAAGTTACTGATTATTATTTTATTTTATTATGGGATGGTGAGGATATAGTCTCCCAAGACCATTTGCTAATATAAATTTAATGGTAGTATTAAGAAAAGAACTACGGGTATTTTAAGAGAAAAGTTGGATCTATTTTTGAACAAATATTTATTATTGTATCATGTCATAAACAGCAGGCTTCGGTAAAGTCTTCACTTGTCCTTGGTCAATAATGTTTTTCTATTTTTGTTCTTTCTTAGAAAAAAGTATTTTTTTTATTTGTTTGTTTATTTCCTATTCTTGGTACTGAGGCCCTTCAGCTGATTCTATGACGGCATCCAGTACTGGATCTCGCAGACTTTTCAATTGTAATCATATTTTACCTTTTCCTTTTTCTTTTTTTATTTGTCCACTTTCAGGAAGTCAGAAGAGGGCTGAATTCTGTTCGGAAGATCTGCAATGAGTACAAAATTCCGGGGGTATTTGGTCCAATTATTGAGTTACTTGATTGTGATGAAAGATTTTTCACTGCTGTTGAAGTTACTGCCGGAAACAGGTTTGTAAGAATTATACCAAGCTTCTTACTTGACTGTAAATGCAATCATAAACATCTCCTTAACTCATTTTTAAGTGAGCAAATAATAATAATAATAAAAAATAACAATAATAATAATAATATTATTAATATTGTTATTGTTATTATTATTATTATTGTTATTTATTATTATTATTATTGTTATTTATTATTGTTGTTTTTTGTTATTTATTATTATTATTATTATTATTATTATTATTATTATTATTATTTACCGGTATACTCATATCACAGTGTTATCATCTTCTTGTAAATGCACTTAATGCTAGAGACTGTCTTTTTATTTTATTATATTCTTTTGTTTGGCTGCTGTACTATTTGAACAGCTTATTTCACGTGGTGGTTGAGAATGATGACATATCAACCCAGATAATTAGGCACCTTAATTCACTGAAAGGTGGGCGAGTTACTTTCATCCCATTGAACAGGGTGACCGCACCACGCGTTTATTATCCACAGAGTTCTGATGTGATACCTCTGTTAAAGAAGTTGAAGTTTTCTCCGAACTATACTGCCGCATTTGCACAGGTTACGTACTAACTAGATTCTATTTCCGTTAGTAATACTAGGAGAATCAGTGGTTAATGTTAGACACACTTGTTTATGACGCTGATATTGTATTGCTTCTAGAATTGTGGGATATTATGTTAATTAAACTTCTGTTCTAAGAAATCAAGGGTCATCCTATGATGATCTTGTTAGTTTTTTGGGTCAGGGTAGTGGTGGTTAACTCTCCCTCCCTTCCCTTTATTAATAAAGATCGTTTCTTTTCACACACAAAAAAAAAATATATATATATATATATATATCAGTACCGTACTAACTTGTAACACTTGTATAAGTTGTCAGTAGTCAGTACAATATACTTGTAAGTTGTGATTCCAATATACTTAAAAGATATTTGTTGAAGTTAATATACCTATTTGTATCTGTAGCGCCTTTTACCCGACCCCAATTAATTTGGGATTAAGGCTTGTATTTGTTGTTGTTGTTGTTTGTATCTGTAGCGCCTTTTTGTTGAATTAAAAGTCTTGATAATTTGTCTTAAACTATCCTTCAATGATTTTATATTTTCATAGGTGTTTGCAAGAACTGTGATTTGTCGAGATCTGGATGTGGCCACAAGGGTTGCTCGTGACAATAACCTAGACTGCATAACTTTGGAAGGTGTGTAAACCTTGATTATTCCAACCATGACTATTTTGATGTATGTAATTCCCTCACAAATTTATGATCCCTTAACAGGTGATCAAGTGAGCAAGAAAGGTGGTATGACTGGTGGATTCTATGACCATAGACGATCAAGATTGAAGTTTATGAATATAATCATGCAAAACACAAAATCTATAAATGTGAAGGAAGAGGAACTGGAAAGAGTTAGATTTCTGCTTCAAGATATCCTTTTGGCTATATGTTTATAAATTTGATTTCTTTTTGGTCACCTCCATCTTGGTCATTGTTCCATTAAAATTATTGTTCATCAATTTTCTTTTTTATAAGTTCTAAATATGATGAAGTTGCAAGAGTGGGGGAAAATTGAGAGGAAGGAAATTTTCTGTGGACGTTTATGTTTTATTAAAATTTTAAATGTGTATATAACAAATTGCTCAGGTGCCATCTATCTTTCATATTGGTGAGGCTATCTATGAAAAACGATTTTCACTTCCTCTTGAACGTGCTTTTTGCTTCTCTTGTAGAAATTAAGTTTCAGAAAGCTTCATATTGATCGTAGGAATGCCGTGTCTCTTCTAGTTGTACATTTTGTTTGCTTAACCCTTTGTTCTTACCTCAAAGACCAACTGGACAACCCATAAGCTTCAATAGCAGAAAAGTCCAGGGGTGCTTCAAATGGAACTCGAACTTAGGCCGTCTAGTTTATGACTCGTCCTAGAGTGGTGCCTTACCACAAGGCTACTCACTTATCAGCTTTGTCCTTCTAAATTAACCTTTTACTTTTCTCATTTGAAAAGAAAAGAAAATCTTAAAATATTTTCTTCAGAGTTTTATTAGTGGCCTTTGGTCAATTTTGATGAGCGCATGACCACCTTTCTAGGTATTCTTTTCTCCTGTAGTAGAGCTCTTCTATTATTGTGCCAAATTAAAGCTTTAATAGGCAATTTTTAACGGCCTTAACATGTCTATTTTTCCGTAACTTTCTTTTCCTAGCACGTCTTATCTAATTACCTTTGAATGTATGAACGTGCCCCCCATGCATGTGGGCAAAATATGAAAATGACTGTTGTAACGTTTTTGCATGTTATCTTTGGCGCTTTTATTTCTTCTAAATGTTTCATGTATACTCCAATGCTTTTGTTTTGCTAAATTTATCTCACAGATAGACCAGAAAATTACAGAACTTGTGACTGAGCAGCAGAAAATTGATGCAAAGCAGTCTCATGACAAGTCAGAATTAGAACAGCTTAAGCAGGACATTGCAAATGCTAATAAACAGAAAAAATTGCTTTCCAAAGCTCTTGAAAATAAGGTATTTCTGGGCCTTGGCTACCTTTATGTTATTCGCAGGAGGAGCATCTTGTATTCTCTCTTTATTGTTCAAAGTTGTGTTTTTTAAGAATCTTCTTGCTTGTTTGTAGAGAAAATCACTTGCAGATGTACAGACTCAAATTGTACAGCTTAAAGCCAGTGTGGCCATGAAAGAGGCTGAAATGGGCACAGAGCTCATTGATCACTTAACACCGGAGGAAAAGGACATTCTCTCGAGATTGAACCCTGAAATAACGGATCTTAAAGAAAGCCTTATCAAATGCAAGACTGAGCGTATTGAGGTTTGTAAGATGAATCTTGTTGGTGTTTATCAAGATTTTTACATCTCCATACGGTTCCTAATGTGCTTATACTTGCAACGGATAGACTGAAACAAGAAAAGCAGAGCTCGATACTAACCTAACTACCAACCTCACGAGGCGAAAGCAAGAATTGGAGGCCATAATATCTTCTGCAGAAAGTGAGAGTTGGTATGGTGAAGTTGAAATCAAAAGGCAAGAACTTAATGATGCTAGACAATCAGTTGAGGATGCAACAGAGCAGCTTAAAAGTGAGGCCCATGATATCCTTGTATGATTTTCCAGTTTTATGTTCTAATCTTTGCTTCTGTATTTGACTAAAATTCTGCTTTTCAGGAGTGCTTTCAGACATAGATGAACGAACAAAGAAACTTAAGAAGATTAAAGATGAAAAGATCAAGTTAAAGGTAGTTCTCTTGTGCAGTTAGAGTAGTAACCGGTAATGGCTTCTGTTTTTGCTGATGATCATCTGTGACAGCAGAATTTGGAGGACAACTACGAGAGGGCACTTCAGGATGAAGCCAAAGAGTTAGAACAACTATTGAGTAGAAGAAACATGTTTCTTGCTAAACAAGAGGAGTACTCAAGAAAGATCAGGGAATTGGGTCCATTGTCATCAGATGCCTTTGAAACGTATGACTTGGAACTTCATTGTTTGATCTTATTTGAGAACTGATTTTTGTTTATTTTGATGCATTTTTCTTTCATCAATACAATTGTTCATTTTTAATTAATGAAAACAAATGAGGAAAAGTTCAGTTCTTGTCTTTAGTTTTTAAATGCATTCTCAGATTGTTTCTTTGACTATTTTTGCAATTGCATAATGTTTAATTTTTTTTCAAAGTTATTTTTAATCCTTTTAGTGTAATTGAGTTATGTGATCTCACCATTTTTATATTCCAGTATTTTATTTGACAATGTAATGGTGTTCTCTTCTATGTTGGAAATGGTAGATATAAGCGGAGGAATGTCAAGGAATTGCATAAAATGCTGCATAGGTGCAGCGAACAACTCCAGCAGTTTAGCCATGTCAACAAGAAAGCACTTGATCAGTATGTAAATTTCACAGAGCAACGAGAAGAGCTACAAAAAAGGCAAGCTGAACTTAATGCTGGTGACGAGGTAATATGCGAGGATCTCTCTTCGGAATGGATATTTTATGTGAAACATTTTTCATACTTCAGTGATTGAAATATGGATTTTCTTAATGCGCTTTTACTTTAAATTCTGCAGAAAATTAAAGAACTTATATCAGCTTTAGATCAAAGGAAGGATGAGTCCATTGAGCGTACTTTCAAAGGTGTTGCTAGGCACTTTCGAGAAGTTTTCTCGGAACTTGTGCAAGGTGGATATGGTCACTTGGTTATGATGAAGAAGAAGGTGCGGCACTCTAATCATGCAGCTTAAGCTTTTACCATAAGATGTAATGACAGTTTCCTCAGTTGTATGTGGTTACTTCTGTATTTTTGTGATCATTAATTATATATTTATGTTAAATTGTTAATACCATGATCGAGGATTCATTCATTTATTGATTTATTGTATGCTAAGCATATTCTTTTTTTGATTATAGTTGATCTCTTAGCATCTCATTAGCATCTTTTTTGATGGCTCATATCTAGCAATGCTCAGAAGATTGGTGTTATATAACATATGGCTGTGGGTTTATATTCACAGGATGGTGATCATGGTGATGATGATAATGATGAGGATGGACCTCGTGAAGCAGATTTGGAGGGTAGAGTTGAGAAATACATTGGCGTGAAAGTGAAGGCACGTAGTTTCTTAACTCATGAATATATTTCCTCTGCAGGAAAAAAGAAAGCCCTATTCTTTTCACTCTTTTGATGATCTGATGTAGCAAGTAAAGTTGGGAACTTATTCGTTGATAGTTGTGGGATCCTTGCTCTTACTAGGAGATGGAAAATTTACTAGGACAATAAAATAATGTGATTGGAAAGAATAGCAGGTTCTCTAAAGGAAATTAACAAGATACAATAACTATAAAGAGGCATCCAGTCCAGCCGAGGAAAATCTCTAAACCCTTTACAGGTGCAACTCCACAAAGAACCAAAACATATTTTATCCCAAAAAGATTCCATGGTACGTAAGGAATTCATTCTGGATATCAGCAGTAGTGGGGTTTCAGTTGTGGTAGTTGAAGATAGAGACTGTATAAAGTTTTTCTGGACACTTGGAACTTGAATTAGATGCTGTGAATTTCACAACCAAATGTATGGCATCTGCTGTATATTACATTTGGCGTAAATGTATTCTTTTTGAACTGGTCTTTTTCGGTATGGCAGGGTTTTTTTTTTGGATTTCACAACCAAATGTATGGCATCTGCTGTATATTACATTTGGCGTAAATGTATTCTTTTTGAACTGGTCTTTTTCGGTATGGCAGGTTTCTTTTACTGGACATGGAGAAACTCAGTCCATGAAGCAGTTATCTGGGGGTCAGAAAACTGTTGTCGCACTTACGCTTATCTTTGCCATCCAGCGATGTGATCCAGCTCCTTTCTATCTTTTTGATGAGATAGACGCAGCTCTGGATCCACAGTACAGGACTGCTGTAGGAAGTATCCTATTTTGTTGTACTTGTTTTATGTGGGTTTTCTGAGAGTCTTAATAGCTTTCATTTCGTTCATTCTTTGTGTTTGTATTTTGAACTATATACCTTCGCCTAATACATTCCTCCTGCCCATGTCTCCATGGGAGATTCAAGTTTCAGTGAGTTTATTAGTATTAGTACTAAAGTAGTAGTTTTCAATTTGTTTGTTTTATTATTATTTTTTGAGCAAAAGTAGTAGGCAATTTGGAGTTTGAAGTGATGATAAATTAGACATAGATTGACTTAAGTTCTTAGATCTCGTGTTTAGAAGTCAATTATTTAAATAATCAGCTTGGATCCTTCTAAAAGATCCTGTGCTACATTATTTCCCATACAGCAGTCTATCAGGTTAGGGTCCACTGTCAGGATGCAGGTGCAGATGTGTAAGCTTGTGACATTTTGGTGCTTCGATTGTATTACTGCCATGATTGAAACTTTAAGTACTCAGTTTCAGCTGTATCATTGCGAAGCAAGATGTACACTAGGTAGATCTTTGTTTCAACATTGAAGTTACCCGGTCCAATCAAGCTGCTCTAGTTAGGCAATCTGATAAAGGGATTATAATCTAGCATCCAGAATTGCTTAGTTTGTAGCCAACCATACCATTTTCTGTGGTGGTTAGCAGCCCATGCGACAGTCTTGGGAGTTGTTTGTCCATTTGCGTACTGGAATTTTCATTGTGATTAATATCGAGTGTAAATTATATATATAGATAATGATATGTCAGCATGTGCTTTATCCATTTGACTGTTTGTGGAATGCATAGTGCTCTATGAGCTCCTTACTACTTTATCTGTAGATATGATTCGTCGCTTGGCAGACATGGCAAGCACTCAATTTATAACCACAACGTTTCGACCAGAGCTTGTCAAAGTTTCTGACAAGATATACGGGGTGACACATAAAAACAGGGTGAGTCGTGTCAATGTTGTTTCGAAGGAAGATGCACTAGACTTCATCGAGCATGACCAGTCTCACAATGCTGACTAAGGTAAAAACCGTTATTCACATGTTATTGAATTTTTATTTTAAATGTTGTGTTTATTACTTGAATTATCTTGAGAGTGACTTTCATATGAATTTTGTGCTTTTAACGTTGTTTTTGAACTAAAGTCTTGTTCATTTCTCGCATCCAAAAAACTGAAAGCCACTATTGTTCATGTTTATGGAAGGTCATTTCATTTAACTGCCAGTTCATCATCTGTCTCTTCTTAAAACGTAAAGGAAGTAGTCATTTTGTGTGTATGAATATATATACATGTGTGTGTGTGTGTTTCAGCATTATAGGTGATTATTAATTTATTACTACTTGGTGAAAGACTGGCAGTGCCAGAATACCGTTAAAGAATTAGTGGGTTGGGTAGCACAACATAATATGTGGTATATAGTGTGAACAAGTTTGTGGTTTTTCATGCCAAAAGCCAAAAGAATAAATTTGTTGTTTGTCGAACGCTCGTGCTTTACAAATCGTACAGTACAGTTAATGCCAAAATCATTTTTGATTTATCATATTTTTGTAACTGAATCATCTCGTCTTTTTTTTTTTGTGGTTTTTCATGCCAAAAGCCAAAAGAATAAATTTGTTGTTTGTCGAACGCTCGTGCTTTACAAATCGTACAGTACAGTTAATGCCAAAATCATTTTTGATTTATCATATTTTTGTAACTGAATCATCTCGTCTTTTTTTTTTCATGCAGTTTGTTCCCCTATATATGTTTTCTTATATATTCTTGTTCCTGCTCCCCATGTACATTCTGGAAGACTGAAGTGACTTGCCCATGTAGGTTTTCTACAGCTGCCAGTAAGACTTGGAAGTAAATATAGTTAGAAAAATTTCAATAGTTTGGTCTCTGGATTTGATTGTTAATATTCATCTTGCCCCAACTCTAATCTCTGTGAATTTGATTGTTATTGTTAATCTATGCTTTAACCCTAGGCATGCCACACTCTTAAAACAGTTATTTCGTTAATTAAGGAAAAAAATTAGTGTCGTGTTTATTATTCTTTGCTGAGCTCTTGTGCATTTTACGCGGAAAATTATAAATTATTCTCGAGACAGGCGTGAAATTAGAAAGAAAAGAAACTGTACTGAGCCTGCGTCTATGTGGGATTCTTTACCTGGTGAGGTAGCCAATGAAATTTGGCAGGGCAGGCTCAATTTGGTAAGTTTTGTTTTTGTTTTTGTTTTTATTTGCTGATTCACTCGATTAAAGTGGTGTGGTATGTTTGTATACAAAATGAGGGTGAGAAAACGCAAGGGAAAAAAGGACAAAAAAAATGCCTCAATTTCAACTTGGCTCCTATCCCTGAACTAGTGAGCTTGGGCATGTCCAATCATTAAATCACGAGAAAAACTTTTTTCCGAGGATATTAAAGTCAATCGAAACTTATTTTTCCATTGAAGCATCAAATTTCTCACCATAAAAGGATTGTCTTCAAGCATGCAAGACTGAGTTTCAAGTTGCGGTTGCTATGGAGTATGGACGCGTAAGGAAACTTAAAACCTGGAATTGAAGTAGGGGTGGCAATTTTTCCGTTACCTTGCACAAAATGCTCCTCATTTTTTCCATTACCCTCCCAAGCTATTGCCAGTCGTCAAAATTTCCAACATTGGGGCAGATTAGCCTCAATATCACAATGGGATATCATATGCCACAGATGGGCTACTTCCAGTATCCTGGTATGATACTGTTTAGGACTTTTTTGGCATTCCAAATGTGTTGGTGCGCATTTTTGCAAGAGTTTGTTTCGTAATAAAATCAATTCAAGAGTTGTCATTGTGACGTTTGTGTAAAGTCCCATGATGTTGAGACGAAATTACATGGCCTTATTCTTTCTTAGAGAGGACCCGTGAATGTGTTTCCACACAACTTTTTCTAAATTTTTTGATCGTGCTATTTTTATTGGCGACCATAAACAATTGATCAGCATCCCAAAAAAAAAGATGTATTAAATTATATCAAAACAAAAAAGGAGCAACCAATTTATCAAAGCTAAATGACATGGTATGCATTTTAGTGTGACATTCAAAACAGGATATTTTTAAACATCCTGTTTTGAATGTCACACTAAAATGTACATGGTAGTTAGAGGCGTATCATAGTTCAGGGGGCACAATAAGTACATTTTAAAGTTAAGGGAGTATGTTGACACAAGTGGCGTATCATAGTTCAGGAGGCACAATAAGTACATTTTAAAGTTAAGGGAGTATGTTGACACAAGTGACAATGTACATGGTAAAGTAGTTAGAGAAATATCATAGTTCAGGGGGCACAATAAATACATTTTAAAGTTCAGAGTATGTTGACACAAGTGACAATGTACATGGTAAAGTAGTTAGAGAAATATCATAGTTCAGGGGGCACAATAAATACATTTTAAAGTTCAGAGTATGTTGACACAAGTGACAATGTACATGGTAAAGTAGTTAGAGAAATATCATAGTTCAGGGGGCACAATAAATACATTTTAAAGTTCAGAGTATGTTGACACAAGTGACAATGTACATGGTAAAGTAGTTAGAGAAATATCATAGTTCAGGGGGCACAATAAATACATTTTAAAGTTCAGAGTATGTTGACACAAGTGACAATGTACATGGTAAAGTAGTTAGAGAAATATCATAGTTCAGGGGGCACAATAAATACATTTTAAAGTTCAGAGTATGTTGACACAAGTGACAATGTACATGGTAAAGTAGTTAGAGAAATATCATAGTTCAGGGGGCACAATAAATACATTTTAAAGTTCAGAGTATGTTGACACAAGTGACAATGTACATGGTAAAGTAGTTAGAGAAATATCATAGTTCAGGGGGCACAATAAATACATTTTAAAGTTCAGAGTATGTTGACACAAGTGACAATGTACATGGTAAAGTAGTTAGAGAAATATCATAGTTCAGGGGGCACAATAAATACATTTTAAAGTTCAGAGTATGTTGACACAAGTGACAATGTACATGGTAAAGTAGTTAGAGAAATATCATAGTTCAGGGGGCACAATAAATACATTTTAAAGTTCAGAGTATGTTGACACAAGTGACAATGTACATGGTAAAGTAGTTAGAGAAATATCATAGTTCAGGGGGCACAATAAATACATTTTAAAGTTCAGAGTATGTTGACACAAGTGACAATGTACATGGTAAAGTAGTTAGAGAAATATCATAGTTCAGGGGGCACAATAAATACATTTTAAAGTTCAGAGTATGTTGACACAAGTGACAATGTACATGGTAAAGTAGTTAGAGAAATATCATAGTTCAGGGGGCACAATAAATACATTTTAAAGTTCAGAGTATGTTGACACAAGTGACAATGTACATGGTAAAGTAGTTAGAGAAATATCATAGTTCAGGGGGCACAATAAATACATTTTAAAGTTCAGAGTATGTTGACACAAGTGACAATGTACATGGTAAAGTAGTTAGAGAAATATCATAGTTCAGGGGGCACAATAAATACATTTTAAAGTTCAGAGTATGTTGACACAAGTGACAATGTACATGGTAAAGTAGTTAGAGAAATATCATAGTTCAGGGGGCACAATAAATACATTTTAAAGTTCAGAGTATGTTGACACAAGTGACAATGTACATGGTAAAGTAGTTAGAGAAATATCATAGTTCAGGGGGCACAATAAATACATTTTAAAGTTCAGAGTATGTTGACACAAGTGACAATGTACATGGTAAAGTAGTTAGAGAAATATCATAGTTCAGGGGGCACAATAAATACATTTTAAAGTTCAGAGTATGTTGACACAAGTGACAATGTACATGGTAAAGTAGTTAGAGAAATATCATAGTTCAGGGGGCACAATAAATACATTTTAAAGTTCAGAGTATGTTGACACAAGTGACAATGTACATGGTAAAGTAGTTAGAGAAATATCATAGTTCAGGGGGCACAATAAATACATTTTAAAGTTCAGAGTATGTTGACACAAGTGACAATGTACTCGGAAAGTAAATACAGAGAGAAGGAGAAAACAGCTAAGCTAGAATCTGAGGTCAAAAACCCCTGTGTATCCGTGCTGTACTCTTCTTTTCTCCAGCTCTCCTCCAGGAAATCTGTGCACCTCTCCTAATTTCTCTCCTCTTTTCTGGTTGGTTGTACTATACTCTTCTTTTCCTTTATATACTAGGGCATGTTGAGGTGCCCTAATGACAAGTGTATGCATGAGAGTCATGATTGATGGTCCCCCCTCCTGGTGCTCTTACAGCTGTCCCGTCAGTGCTTGGACCACTACCAGTGCTAAAAGACAAACTGTGCCAGCTTGCTAATTTTTGGCTGCTCCTGCTTTTGCTGCGACTTTGCTGCAGCAATGCTATGGCATTGGGGGCATTTCAACATTTGTGTTTTCCACCGTGCTTTTCTCACCAAAAGCCTACGTCAGCACCTCCTGTGGACATCATGCACTAAGTTCCCAGGGTCAATGCAATGAGTTGAATTGAGGAATAACTTCAAAATATAGCAAGATTTCCCATAAATAACAACTTTCTGCCACACGGAAAAAGATTAATAAATGCTATTCAAAATACTAACACAAAGGCATTTTACCCGGAGAATATAAACAAATATTAAGCCTAAAAGTATGCTAAATAACTCTATTTCTGTGAGTTATCACCAATCATCCTTCTGGTGTTGATTTCCTAAATGATAAAATGATCATAAAAGAAACTGACAGTAAGATGCACATCTGTTATGAGAGCACTCACAGAAAGCAAGTTAAACTTGAATTCTGGAATAAACAAGACATCTCTCAATAACAAATGGGAGTTTAGTCAGACATCACCATAGAAATGGACAGCCACATGTGTATGATTTGACAAGGTGATAGTAGAATTCTTTATAGGCCTCAAAGAGAGAAAAGCATTTGCATTTGAACATATATGTCTAGAAGCTCCGGAGTCCACTACCCAATAGTTTGAAGAAGACAACTTAGATATCACAGAAACAGAGAAGCATGTACCTGTGAAAGAAGTACTAGGAGCATCTTGTTGTTCACTGGTCGTAGCAAAGGAAGACAAGTGGCTAGCAAACATGGCCATCAACTGGTGATACTGATTCTTGTCATGGCTCTGGAAGAAATTCTCAGTACCTCTGATGTCTCTATCACTTTTCTCAAACAGATTGGGTTGGTTAGAGAGTTGATTGACAGCCACCATCTGGTTATTAGGCTGACTTTTCAGTTGTTGCTTGAAACCAGGTGGATAGCCATGCAACTTGTAACACTTTTTAATCGTGTGGCCATGATAATTGTAGTGAGTGCAAAAAGGTCTGTCTTTCTTCTGATCTCTATTGCTTCCAGTATTTCAAGTGTCAACATTAGCAACAAAGCCTTTGAAACTATCATTTTTAACAGCAAAAGCCATCTCATTAGCAGAATTAGTGCATGAATTTTGTTGTCCAATTGTTCTCTGACGTTCTTCCTGAGAAATTAGGGAGAAAACCTTATTAATAGGTGGAAGAGGATCCATCAAAAGCAATTGACCTCTTACTTGTGCAAAAGAATCATTAAGGCCCATGAGGAATGACATAATGTATTCCATCTGGTAATAAGAATTTAGCTCCTTAACTCCTCCACATGTGCACTTTCCACAATTACAAAGAGGCCTATAATTGCTGAGTTCTTCCCATAAAGCTTTCGTCTTTGTAAAGTACACACCTACAGAGTTTTGATCCTGATTATGGTTCACCAATTCAAGACATAATTGAAAAATCCTAGGTCCATTACTCTGTTGAAAGCAATCCTTAAGATCGAGCCAAATTTCAGAAGCAGATTCAGAAAAAATAATACTGGCAGAAATCTCCTTCGACACAGAGTTTAGAATCTATGAAATCACCATATTATTGTTTCTAATCTATGAATTAAGAAGATTTAGATCATTACCTCTAGGTTTGGGAATGGAGCCATCGATGAACCCTAACTTGT